TATATATATATTCCTTTATCTAAAATAACTAAAAGCTATACCTTATGATTCATATATGTTTAGGTATATAGTCAGTATATAAATGTATACAATAGATATGCATTTCTTACTATATAATTATGTATAAGAGATAGAAATATCCATAGAGTTAAAGTTATGTACTATTTAGAAAACTTGAATTTCATAAATTATATCTTACATTATTTTATTTATTTATTTATTTATTTATTTATTTATTTTTGCCAGATGGTGTGTGTGTTCCACAGAGAGAGAGAGAAGTGGGAATTGGGGGAGGAGAGAGAGAAAATACTTCCCAGTTGGTATGGTCATGTTGCAATCTTTTTACCTTTATTTCTCCATTTCGTCAGGATTTTGGACACACATGCATGCACATGCACTGTGTGTTTTTCAAGCTGCTAGAGCTGAGATTTGAGCCAATGGTCAGCCATGTCGTGTCTGACTTTCCATGCATAGTACTTAGCTGCTGAGCTATGGGCCTGGCCCAGAAGTTATATCTTTGATAGATGCCTACCTATGACTTCAAAAAATTTAATTCAAGTGGTCTTGAATTAAAGTAAGAAAAAAAAAAAACAGAAAAATTTATGATCATATGATATGAATAGAAGAAAAATTATTTATAATTACTACTTTTACCTTATTACTGTATCCTTGCTTTTTATGCTTGACTCCTATAGAATAGAGTACTAGAATCAAATCCGGAGGGCAATCAGCAAAGTATGCTGTACAAGTAACTGGTGATTCATGAATGTCCATAGGGTATGGATTTTCAAAGATTGGAAAGCTAATAGATAAAGACAATATCTTAGTGTCATTTTGCAAACATAAAAAATACAAAATAATTTTCATAAAGTAACCTCTAGAATGTTTGTAAATAATAGTTATAAATTTCACTTAATTATTTTTAAGCACAACAAAACATGAATCACAGGAATAAGAATGCTCATTTTAAAATAAATAGTTATGTATGAAATGTAATATTAATACTGGTAGAATTTAACATAATATTAATACTGGTAGAATAAATTCAGTTTTTCCCCATAATTTAAACATTCTGCTATACTACTATTACTGTCTAGGATACTATCTGCAGCATTTCAGCTTGGTAGAAAATCTGCCAACACACAAATACATAAACACAAACCACATTCCATATTCTCTGGAGGTTGAATAAAATTACTAATTCCTAATTAAGTTTCTAATAATATGGGAGAAAATTATTTTTAACAATCACCTCCTAAAAACATTTTTTAATAAAAGAATAAATGCATATACTCAGGAAAATGAGTATTAAAAGTAAAGTATAGTGGGCCTTGGAGGATATTAGATAATTAGAGAAGGTATGAGGAAAAAAATAACTACCACAAAGAAGGCTCGAGTGCCAAAGAAATCAGAAGAGTACATTTTAATGTCATGTATCTTAAAACTTCTTGGAGGAAGAAGCATAAACTCTTACTTGTACATAAAATTTAATCACGTTTAATGATGACAAATAATGCAGATAGGCAGAACTGACCATTATGATATGGCCGAATCTTACATCTCTTTCCAAGTATTGAGACATTAACTGCTGTAAATTAACATAGGAATAATATTGGCTCTTACATTTATAAACTACATGGAAAATGGAATTCAGATTATAATTTTTTCAACAAAAATCCACTGAGAACCTACTCAATGTGGAGATATAGTCCTTCCCATCATGGAGCCTATAGTCTAGTGCAGAGACAATCTTTGCATAACAAATTGAAAAATTCACCTGTGTCAAAAGCTATAGAGTGAGCCCATAATATTATATTTGTCCAAATTATATAGATTATGAAAGATTTCTTTTCAGGAGGAAGTGATATCTGAATTGAGATTCTTACAAATAAGATGCTAATAAGAAGTAAAAGAAAAATTACTTCAGGCAGAGGAGAGAGAATGTTCAAAATTCTTCTGCAAATACAAGGGATCTTCAAAAATCATGCAATGTGTACATTATTTTTAAAATGCATGAATTCTAAACATTTTTGCACCAAAATAAATTCATACTTTAATTGCACTTTTTTTGAAGTACAAAGGAGCTAAAAGATCAGTGGGGCTAGAACATACAATAAGGAAAAATCAATTTCATACTTATCACCATTTAAAATGAAAATGTACAGGAAGACAGTGCCTGTATATTTCAAGTCTACTTTTACTGTCAACATAAAGGAGTAGAGAGCACCACTGTAACACAATATTCTGTATTTGCTCCAATTGCTCACAAACTAAGGAAAAAAGGAAAGTGAAAGAAGATCCCTCTCTTTTCTACCCTTGAGATCCTGGTCTTCTGTATTGTCTGTTGCAGTAGTCTAATAATACTTTTACTATTTGTTATTTTCCTTTAGTCAATTTTTCTGTAGACTTATTATTGTACATTTTCCTAACAATTGCTTTGCTTAAGTAAACTGCAGAAATATCATTGATTTTGTATGGGCTGAATCTCCAAATGCTTTTGTCTAAACATCAGGTGCTGTCTTTATGATGTCTTAACACCTTTCACAGTATCACCCAAACTTTCTTGGTTTCATTTTTATTATTGAACCAAACTGTATTTTCTTAATTCTATAAAAACAATATTCATATAACAAAACCAAAGAATATTAATTCCAATGATCTAAAATGTACTCCTGCATTTTAATTATAATGAATGTAGTTTAAAAATAGTGTTAATCTCTACATGGATAACTTACTTGCTTTGTGTCAGATCAACTACAATGAGATCTTTCTCCAGAAGTACTACGACGGCATAGGGTTCTTGGAATTCTATAAGTAAAAATAAGAAATGGAAAAATTTTAATGTTGTATATCTAATAAAATCACCAGAATTACATTCCCTTTATATCCTATACTAAAGCTATTTAAATCATTTTAAAAGACCAAAATATGAGCCAAAGTAAGAAGTAACCAATATCACTCTTAAAAATATATCATGTTTCTGAACCAGCAGATGGCATAATGGATATCCTCAACTGCAGTTTGAGTCCTGGATCCGGCAGCTTAAACTCACTACAGGCGTGTTTGTGTGCATGCCCAAGATCCCAGAGGAGAGTAAAGGAGAAGAGATTGCAGTGTGTCCATCCTCCTGAGGGGTGATTTCTTGCTTTCTATCTGTCTCTCTCCATCACTCTGGTGAGCCAATGCACCTTATAGCAAAAATCTCTCTTTAAAAAAAATAATATATCATGTTTCTCAAATTTAATGTGAAGATCACTACAGAAAACAAGGGGAAAAGTGAGAAGTTGCATAGTAGATAGTTAAATATGTCTCCAGAAAAATGGGTGGCAATGGGATCAGACCAGTGGGTGGCATGGTGGTTAAGGTGCCTGACTACCACAGGCTGACCACGGATATACCTAAAATCATGCTAGACATTCATGCATGCATGCCCAAGATACCAGGATGAGAATGAAGAGGGGACTGTGGCATGGTCATCTCCCATGGGAGGTGATTTTTCACTTCCCCTCTCACTGTCTCTCCTACAAACATGCGTGCCCTATGGCAAAACCTTAAAAAAATGGGGTGGTGAAAGTAGTAGATTAGGTGAAGAGAGTGAGTTTGTCACCTCCCTTTCACAAACGTTGATCTTATTCTTCTGTAATCTTAGTATTTTAGATCTGATTTCACACCTATAGGAAATGTACTAAGGAAACAGTACCTCTGCTTCTCTAGGATATGACACATAGTCACCTCCTTACCAGAGCAACATTGTTTATAGTAAGAGGTTTATTCTCAATTCAGCATGTAATTATAGACTATTTATTTGTGCCTAGGAATATATACCTCAAAAAAGCAGAGAACGTGAGGAGAATCTTAAGATTTTCAAGTTTTAAATTCCAAAGCTCCCTCCTGCCTTTCCTTTTATTCCTTCCTTCAGATATTTAAAAAACAAAGGATACATGAAAAAGAAGACTGTAAAAGTATCCTTTTTTATGGAGTTTACATTATAGGGACTTTTTACAAACTATGAACAAGTAAACAAGAATTCACAGAGTAACAGTATGTATGAAAAAATAACAAGGGCAATAGTCAGACAAAAGATTTGTTGGGGACACACTAATGTAGTTAGAATGGTCGTGAAAGAATGCTTTTCATCTGCTATAGAGGATGAATAAGGGAGAGTCACAGTGAAAGAGTTATTCTTAAATTAGAAAAAAGTATTTATAAAAAATAGTTTATATGCATGATACTTGATTCCCAGTAGTTAGAGCAGGTTTTACTATTTTGCTATTTTATAGAGAAAATTGAAGTCCAAAAAGGTTAAAAAATTGACGTAAGTGTACACAACTAGTAAGTGATGCTGAAATTTTAACACCAGTCTTCTGACTCTAAATCTCATTTTTTTTTTTAATTATAAACCAGGAATTTCTACTGGCTAGTCTGAGAGATAATTAGTCCTAAACTCAGCAATCATTTGGCAGCAATTTTGTTTAGAAGAATCAAATCTTGGATGGGGAACTGAAATACTGAAATAGATAACCTTCACAGTCTTAGTCTTGAGAAGCTACAGAACCTACTCACATATAAGTTTATAATTCACATGCATATGAGAGAAAAACTAAAAAAGAAACACACAAGCCAGGGTCAGCCCCATAGCCTAATAGTCAGGCTATTACTACATGACCAATCATGGTTCGAATGGCTCAGGGGACTTATAAAACACTCCAAGCATATTTGCGTGCATATCCCAAATCCAGACACACTGAAGATATGGGGGAGAAGGAATTGTGTAGTGACCATGCCCCATTGAGGGGTGCTTTCTCCCTCTCTCCTTGACTCTCTCTGACAAGAGCATGTACCCTCTGGCAATGAAAAAAAAAAAAGAAAGAAATGGAAAAATAAACGAAAACTTGAGAAAAAGCAGGCAAATATTGGAGCTTAGTGCTTAGTTATCTAGTCATGTGTCACATAATAATGGAAAAATATTCTGGGAAATGCATCCTGAGGCAATTTCGTCACTGCGCTAAAACCCTAGATGCACTTATATAAACCTAGAAGATATAGCTTACTACTCACCTGAACTATATGGTGTAGCTTATTATAATGGAGTAGGACCGCCATCCCATATGCAGTCCATCACTGACCAAAACATTATGGAGTGCTGTGTGACTGTGTATGTGTGACAGTATGCAGTCTACACACTATTTGTTCTCAAACTGAGACTTTCTCCCTTCTTCCTTATCTCTTAGAGTTGTTTTTCAATGTGATTTAAATTATTCTGGGATAATTTTGTTTTCTTTTGCTTTTCAGTTTGAAGAATAGTGGGGTTCTTATGTCTACATATTTCCTCTTTATCTTCTCTCCTTAGGAAAACCACTCTTTAGAAACAAGGGCTATAAAAAAGGGCTACAAAAATATAATAACTAAGACATTGGCATAAGTGAGCTAAATGTAGAAATAGGTAAATTATGATGTATAGGCATTTACATTTGTTTTAGATTACCATCGTTCCTTTATAAGTAACACAAACTGATAGAAGTTTCACCTTTGTAAAAGTGCCTAGCGTACCGTGATGATGAGTGAATAAAAAGATTTCCATAGGAGTCAGTGCTAGGTTCATTTTTGTGTCTTTTATTTTTCAGAATTTGATGATGGGAAAACTATCGTTAGTTAACTTCTTTAACCTCCACTTTTTTTTATTCATTTAAAGGACACAATAATAACACTTATATTGTGAAGTTCAGCTGAAGTTCAGCTGTAACAATTTATGAAGACATTTAATGCAAAACCTGGCACATAGTAGAAGCTCAGTAGGTGACAACTGTTTTACTTCCTTTTAGACATATCTTGTTTTATTGTGCTTTACAGATATTGCATTTTTTAACAAATTAAAGATTTGTGACAACTCTGCATGGACCAAACTTTAGGCACCATTTTTTCCACAGCATGTGCTCATTTTGTGCCTCTGTGTTACATGTTGGTAATTCTTATAATATTTTGGACTTCTTCAGTTTTATGATATGCTATGGTCATCTGTAATCAGTGATCTTTGATTTAACTCTTGTGATTATTTTGAGGCACGATAAACTATACCCACTTAAGATAGGAAACATAATCAATAAAAGTATGTGGTCTGACTGATCTACCAACTAGCCGTTTCCCTGTCTTTATCTCTATCTTAAGGCTTCCCTAGTCCCTGAGAAACAATGATATTAAAACCATGCTAGTAAGTAGTCCTACAATGAATGGCCTCTAAGTATTCAGTTTAAGGAAAAGTCACATCCAACTTGAAATCAAATACAAGACATGATTAGGCTTATCTAGGAAGATATATTGAAAGCTAAGACAAGCCAAAAGCTAAGCCTCATGTGCCAAATATTAATAGTGCCCCCAAAAAGTTGTTCAAAGAAATTAAAGTGCTTCTCCAGTAAATACAAGAGTGACAAGTAAACAAAACAGCCTTATCTGCTGATGTGGAGAAATTTTCAGTGGTCTAGATAAAAGATCAAATGAGCCACAACAATCTCTTGAGCCAAAGCCTAAGCTAGTGCAGGGCCCAAACTCTTCTCAAATGTATGAAACTGAGAGAAGTGAATCTGAGAAGAAAAGTTAGAAGCTAAAGAAGTTTTTTTTTTTTTTTTTTTTTTAAGGAAAAAAGTCATTTCCACAGCATAAAAATGCAAGGAAAGGGCTGGCAGTGGCACAGTGGCAATGCAGTGCTCTGTGGTGCGGGACACAGATGCGAAGGTCCCAGCTTTATATCTGGAGGTGTCCATGTACATGCCAGGCATGCACATTGTGCTCACACTCGGGGGTGGCTTCAAGGTTGATCAAAGCATGAGAAACCTGTTGAGGGTGCCTCTCTCTTTCTCTCTTCTTTCCTTCTTTCTCTCATAGAAATAAAATTAAAAAGTAAATTTAAAAAGAAAAAAGTGCAAGGTGAAGCAACAACTGCTGATATAGAAGCTACAGCAAATTATCCAGAAGATCTAGGGAAGATGATCAATTAAATTAGCTACTCTAAGTAACAAATTTTCAATGTAGATTAAACAGTCTTATACTGTAGAAAGATGCCCTCTAGGACTTTCATAGCTCGAGAGGAAGAGTCAGTGCCTGACTTCAAAGTTCAAAGGAAATTATAACCCTCTTGTTAGAGACTAATCTAGCTGGTGACTTTAGGTTGAAGCCAATGCCCATGTACCTTTCCAAAAATCTTAGAGCCCTTGAGAATTATGCTAAATTTACTCTGCCTCTGCTCTACTAATAGGACAACAAAGCCTGGATGACAGATCATCAGTCTATAACATTGTTTACTTAATATTTTAAGCCTACTGTTAAGACCTGCTAGTCACAGAAAAAGGCCCCTTTCAAAATGTTAGTACTTGTTTACAATGTGCCTGGTTACCCAAGTAATAGGGATGAGTAATGTACGGTCAGATGAATGTTGTAAGCCTGCTAACTTAACATCCATTTGGCAGCCTATGCATCAAGAAGCAATTTCAACTTTCAAGTTATATTATTAAGAAATATATTTTGGGGAAGCCAGCAGGTGGCATAGTGGTTAAGACGCTGGACTCCCACATGGCCGACTGTAGCTTGAATCCCGAACCTGGTGGCTCGAAACTCAGACTGGTGCATGTGCGTGCTCAAAATCCCAAGAAGAGGATGGTGGAGAAGGAATTGTGATGTTGCCATCCCCCATGGGAGGGCGCTCTCTCACTCTCTCTCTCTCTCTCTCTCTCTAGCAAGTGCACATGTCCTACTGCAAAAATCTCTTAAAAAAAAAAAGAAGAAAGAAATACATTTTGGACTAGTCTTGCAGGACAGTGGTTGAGTGCTATGTGGAGGGAGCTGGATCCTACATGGTTGGTCATGGTTCAAATCTGGGTTATGTTGGCTTGAAAAACAGATGAAGCATGTGTGCATGTATACCCAGGAACCTGACGGGTAAGAGGAATGAAGGAAAGGGGATCACATGCTCTAATGGGAGGCGCTGCCTCTCTTTTGGAAGTCTTCTAGAATTTGAAAAAAAAAAAAGAAGAAGAAGAAGAAATACATTTTTTTAAGGCTTTGGTTGCCATAGATAGTTACTCCTCAAATGGATCTGTGTAGTCTATTGCAAACTTTCTGGAAAGGATTCACCTTTCTAATGCCATTAAGAATATCCATGATTCATAGGAAGTAAAAATATTAACATTAATGGGAGTTTGAAAGAAGTTGATTCCAACTCTCACTGATGCCTTTGAAGGTTCAAGACTTCAGTGAAGGAACTAATTGCAAATGTAGTGAAATAACAAGAGAACTAGAATTAGAATTGAAGCCAGAAGAGGAGACTGAATTGCTGTGATTTCATGACAAAAGTTTAATGAATAAGAAGTTGCTTCCTTTTTAAAAAAAATTATTCCTAATTTTATTTTATTTTGTATTTTTTACATTTAATTACCTTACAGCATACAAAATGAACTTTCCCAGCATGAATATACTGCATATTACTCCAGTCAAAGATATTATCATACACATTATCATCAACAGATAATTTTCTATTTTTCTGTCTGTTAAATGTTTTGCTTTTTGGCTTTTTTCTCCTCTGGATTCCCTCTCTTCCACCCTTAAGAAGTTGCTTCTTATGGATAAGCAAAGAAAGTGGCTTTTAAAGATGGAATCTACTTATTGTAAAGAAGCTGTGAACATTGTTGAAGTGACACTAAATGATTTAGAATAATCTATGAACTTTGTTGATAAAACAGTGGCAGGGTTTGAGACGATTGGCTACAATTTTGAAAGAAGTTCCACTGTGGGCAAAATGCTATCAACATCAAATGCTATAGAGAAATCTCTCATGAAAAGAGTCAACCAATGTGACAAACTTCACTATTGTCTTATTCTAAAGAATGTCTGTATCTGCCCCAAACTTCACCAACCATCACCCTGATTAGTCAATAGTCATCAACATTGAGGTAAGACCTTCCAACAATAAAAATATTATGATTTGTTAAAGGTATTAATAATTATTAGCAGTTTTTAGTAGTTGACAAATGTTCTATAAAAATTTTAAATATATAATTGCTAATATGAAATCATAATAAACATATACTGTAAGTGAAAAAAGTATGAATCAGAAGAGTATACAGCATATGCTGTCATTTACACAAGAAAGGAGATAATGTATACATAAATGAGTACACACATGCATACACATAGATTATCCTGGGTAGAATATGTAAGATGGCAATATTAGTTGCCACTGTAGGCAATGGAAGACTTTTCAGTACATACTGTTGTATATTATAGGGTTTCTTCTCCGGCATTTTCATGTATTATTCTTTTAATAGCTAAAACACATAACTAATAATATACATTTATATTTTACAGAATAAACAAATTGCTCCTAGTCCCTGACAAATGAAAAATTTTATCTTCATTCCTACTTAAACACACACACA